TAATACATTAATATATAGAAAACATATGCACCAATATACTATATATATAAACACACAGAGCTTAACATGATATGTTATTTAAATTAAAAAGTGTAATTTTTTACTATGATTTCCCAGATGTTTGGAAAGCAACATTTTGGCAATTTTTCTGTTCAAGAAAGGAAAATGAAAATACTTCACCAGTATAGCCAGATATAATGCATAGTATTCAGCAACAATTTTAGGAAAAAGTGCTGCCCAAGAGGTAGATGAGTACAAGGCATTTTCTGTATTGGACAATCAAGAGAAACAGAAAAGAGGAAAACCCTCCCAAAGAAGCCAAGAAAAAATATTTGTGATAATTCAAGATATAAAAACTGGATTTTTCCACATCCCACTTTGGACTTCAGAACCACTGTTTCAGCATAGAGGCCTAAGTCTTGTGCTTGTGTGTGTACTTTACATTTGAATGTACGTGTATGTATGCACATATCAGGTTTGTAAGGACAGAGAAATGTTTTATTAGACCAGTGTGGTTGGAAAACAGACATAAGGTCTTTGTTGATCTAATATAAGATATGACCTCTAGCCTTGAAACATTTTCTCTCACCCTACCATAACCATAGTTCCAAGACCATTTACACCCAAATTAGAAAAAAATACCCAAAACCACAGCTTCCTTGGAGAACCTAAAAATTGCATCTCCAGTTTTCCACTGCAATACTTAAACCAGACAGCAGATATATGAAACTTGTATAGTTTCCCACTTCATCCTGAATGCTACAAAAACTCTGTGTTCTCCTTAGTCCTAACAGACACAAGCATTAAGTTGCATGTCAACCAGGGATCCTGGATAACAAAACAAGCTTTGACACTGGAGTGAGAGAGAGGCAGCAGCACTGGGGTCCTGGTGTTGCAGTATAAACTAGAAGGTCCACAGGGAAATCTAAACAGTGTATTTTTCTGTTTACCTTCAGATGACAATGTCCAAATGCTTCAACACATCACTGAACGCCTGTTACAAAACCTCCTGTCACTAAGAATAAAAATGGATGGATGAATAATGGTCAGGCTGGACCTTCTGCCTCTTGCCAGCAGTGTTGAGCAGAGATTTAAAAACAGCTTGTAAGCAATATGCAGCCAGTCTAGACCTATATAATCAGACCTAGAATCATCAACATTACAGATACATCAACTTACCTCTGAATATATGTAAGGTAGGTACTTGCTGGTGTTTCTCATAAGACCCTGGTTCATTGACTGAAATGAGTAAAACAATTACTTGTCTCACTATCTTTATTTTTTTTCAAACTATATTCATTGGCAGCATTGAATAGGTATTTCTTTCCTTTTTAAAAGCTTGCATTCTGATTGAAGAAATATGAAGAAAACCTAGTAGCAACCATGTCTTAGCAGGTAAAGGAAAGGGATTTCCCTATTTTTGTTTTCATTCACTGCTACTTCTTTCTTTATCTTCCTGCAAGATTGACATTTTAGTATTTTTATCAGCTGCAAAGCAAGGATAACTCAAATGTACAAATAAAGATGAATATGATGGCTATAGGAAAAGCTCTGCCTTTCAAGATGGGCTAGCCACTATGTTGTGCATATTGGTCTCCATGGTATAAAATGTGTGGCTTCAGGGGGGCTGCAGGGAGGGAGGGATGCTCAGCATTAGATGCCAGTTCCCTGAAGTCACCTTTTAGGATAGGATACAGCTGCAAAAGCTGCACAGTCAAGAAACCTTGTGGTGTTTGTCTACTAGGTAATATAGACATCAGCAATCACTTCTGTGCTAACAGATTATACAAATCAAATGTCATTGCAGTAGAACTGCCCTCTGATGAGATACCCTAATCACTAAAAAAAAGACAACAGCCTTGCAAAGTATTCTAGTGCTAACAACTACAGTTCTTAGTTTCTTTCAGAAGAAAGACTCCTCTGAAAATTATTTCACTCCTTTCTGAAACTGAACTTTGTGCAAGCCTTTCAGATTACTTTGAAGGAAAATGTTGAATCAATCCATGTTCTGAAATGCCTTAGAAAGAAGGAAAATCCCAGCAGTAAACCCACCTAATTAAGTAGGGGTGTATCTAGCCCATAGGCCATTACCACATCTCAGCTTCATATTTTTAAACATCCTGTATGTGGAATGGGTAGTAAGCTCTCCTCATTATTTCTCAAATGAAGCCGAATAGACCTAACCCAAATTACAGCAAGATAAACCAGACAACTTAAGTGATGAAAATTGTACTTTCTGCTCTGCTTTAGGGATGCTCCTGGCTCATCTGTCCTCTGATCAAGGTGAGCCTGATAAAGCTGAAAATTACACTGTGTGACTGGATTGTACGAGATTATCTTTCCCCTGAGAAGTGATTTATTTCAGTAACTCTTGATGAATAAGAAACTTTCAGCTCCAACACACTGCTCTTCTTGTGTGGGCATGGTTCCTTATTGCTTTGAGTGAGAGTATGAGTATCTTACATCTTCGTTATGGTTCAAAGACAAATTTGCATTATAAAACAGACCTTCAGGGACCACAAGTTTCATAAAAAGTGAGAATGATTATCATTAGTTTGTAGGTTTAACTGCAAGAGCTGCAGGCATATCTTCCACTTTTTGAGTGTGAGGAAAATCCAATTTTGGCTTTGAGAGATCTTCCTTTGTAGAATTTGGGGATTCTTGATCTTCAGGCAATTTCAGGAAACGTTGCATGGTATGTTTGAAAACGAGACGAGGATCTGGTCCAGAAAGAGATGGGCAATTGCAGCTCTCTCTTATTTTAAGAGCCTGTGAATACATAGGAAAACAAATCATGCTCATTTAAATAAGAAAATTCCTGAGAAGAAATGTAGTGATATAGTAAAACAATAGAAAAAAAATGAAGAATGAAGAATGAAATTGATTTTCTCACAGACAGTATCTCAAAGAATGGATACTCTAAAAGGTACAACACAAATAGAAGTTCTCCAGCTATTTTATGTGGCACTTGTCCACATTAGTATCTTTTACCTTTTAGTTTGCATTCACGTGTAAATGAAATTTTAATTTACATTCATGTGTAAATCAAAACGACTGCATCAAGAAAAAAAGCCATGAATAATTTAATTCATCGGGTATGTTCTGTTATTCAAGTAACTATATGTAGTTGTCTGGCACAGAAAGGTGGGGAAAAAATCTCAACATAATGGAGATGTAACTGTTCAGCACAAAGATCCAGATGGTTGATCAGCACTGTTAAGGTCCAGTTACAGAAATGATCTCATCTCCAAAAAGCATTTCAGCACACAGCTTACAAGTACTGTGAGAAAATAAAGTTTCCATAATGTTAAAATTTATCTGGATAAAAAGACGAGCACCAAGAGACCAAACTCCTGCTCACTAAGTGCCACTGCTTCCACTCTACAGATTAGAGAGCCAAGGCACAGAGGAGTAAAGAATTCCCAGAGAATTAAAAAGGATTAGTGCAAGCACGCTCGCCTCAGGTGCTCCTGCCTTGTGGGCAGTCTCAGAAAGGCCTGACAAGGGATGAATCCAACATCTCCAATGCACCGCAGAGAAACTGGTATACAACTGGATCAAGTCAGCTGTTTTAAAGAATGCTGAAGTTGGTGTTTATTGTAACAAAGCTGAACATACCTTAATTAGTCCCCACAAACAGGCAGCTCATTCTAGAGCTAACAATGGAGACCCCACAACTACATCCAGTGCAGTACTTTACAAGCAGTTGTACACAGACCTACTAGTACCTGCAGATTCTCCTACCAGACTCATTTAAACTGATCAAGAAAAGATCATATGCATCATACAGCAAAATACTGCATGTAGAATATTACAGGGTCCTACATCTCTGCTGCGAACCATCTTGCTCAAGATTTGTAAAATGAAAATGCCAAGAAAACACAAAGTCAAAACCCAGCCTGATATTTAGCCCTCATCAATGGCCACTGTGCTACAGTGACTTTTGTACAATATTATTTCTATCTTGGCCTCAATTACAGCATAAAACTGCAGGCAGAGTAACATTCAGCTTTATCTTTAATCCTTTCATGGGAAAATAAGTTCAAATTTATATTTTATTCCCCTTCACTTCATAGCCATAGATTCCTGAAAAGTAATGGCCAGACCCTTCTCAAGCTGTAGCCAGGTGCCCCCTGACCAGCACTAGGGACTCTTAGTGGGAAGCGTGGGCTGACTTATTTGTTCTAGATGGATGAAAGAGGAGGAAGAAAGTAACAGAGTTTTCATGGCAGTCCTAGCACTGCACTTCAAAAACAGAGCTGAAACTTTCAATCTGCTTTACATACACTGTAGTTGGCTGAAATATCAAATAATACTCCAGTACACCTATGCATAAGCATTCGCCCAGCATTTTGAAACCATCTGGTACCCTGCCACAGGAGACACTGGAAACATCTTACTAAGCAGATTTTAAAATAGAGCAGAGCTTCTGAACTCATTTCTATGTATAAGGAGGTACCAAAACATACTTCTCCCTTACTTTACTATGGCAAGCTGATAAAGAGTTTGCTGTGAATGGCAAGAAATAAGTAGAAATTAAATTTAACAACTGGTTTTCAAAAAAAGATGCATTCCAGAAATGTAACACCAGTTTCTCCAGCTGTTTCTTGCTGAAATGTAGTATTCAAATTACTGGATGCACAAGTCTGGATTATGCATGCAAATATTCCACTTGTCCAACTTTAAAATATGAATAAAGCTTTCAGTATTTGTTTTTCTACAGCATGATGGGTCCATGTAGTCACCAAGTGTAACTGTACCACTGAACTCTTCTGCTTCAGTGACCAATTAATTTCTGAACTGACATATATGACAAATCAAGAGTTTTCTCTTGCTCTCTTCCAGAACATAAGCTGCTGCAAGACTGCATTAATGTCAAGCAGCATTATTCAAGGCAAACAGAAATTTAAAAATTTAGTCTGTATCCCAGAAAGGGCAACATAATCCTCTAAAGTAACTTAGCAATTTTATCTCTGTTTTTCGTGGCTCTATAGTGCCTGGCCTATTTCCCTGGTCTCGCTCACCTAAAACACTGAAGTCACAACAGCAAATGTTAAGAACAATGCCTCCTAGTTAACAATTGCTGTAGTTGCTGCTATTTTGTTTCATGCTGGTAGCTCTGCAACATCACAAAGACAACAGAGCCAGGCTGAGGAGCTTACGATACAATTTCTCCTGCAAGACAGAACAGCCCAACAGTCACCCGGCCTGTGCTTCCAAAACCACTAGCAACTTCAAATCCAGCTATTTAATACTGCTCAAGTAAATTGTTTTTTGACAGTTTGGGTAAGAGGACAAGTAAAAGCATTCTTAATGAAGTATATGCATATTGATATTCCAATAAGAACATGTTTAACCGATTGCTTTTACTGAAGAATGTTCTCAACAGAGAAGGTGGGCAGAACTGAGACAAGGTTAACTCCCCAGGGTGAGTATGTAGATTCACCTGGGAACAGAGTATTTTAATGCTGTTCTTTTCAGGTTAACTTTCAGAGAAGTACTGCTGTTCAGAACAAAGACCACCTGCATGCTTACTGCTTCAGGACACCTCTAATAAAATATCACAACTGTTGCTTGTAGGTAACAAAGGTAAAGCTGTTTTTCTTATCAATACAATTGCAGTCACCTCCTGCAGCGTGCTGGGAGTAGGGAAGGCATAAGAATGAAGGAGGTCTGCCTCATCCTACTGCTTTCATACAGAGCCTCCCAGCAGAGACCAACACAGAAACCAGTGATTTTTTGCTCTCAATATTAATCCTTCACCACTGTCACAGATACCAGGCTAACTGATGAATCTCAACCCCTTACATTCTTCTGGAGTGCCTCCCACCTCTCAGGCTGTCAGCTCTCTGTGTAAAAGCCACATCATTCTCTTGTCCACACCAGGCCAAGGGTTGTAGTCTCTTGTGTATTAAGTGCAGTCACCTCAGCAGGGCTGACTTATGCTCTGACCTTGCAATTCAGGCAAAAAACTAAGAAATAGCACAATCACATGGGGGAAAAAAAATTGAAAAAAAGAAAACCCTAAGAACCACTGAGCTGCAAAACAAATTACAATTAGCAGGCACAGGGAAGACAACAGGTTCTACAAATAAAAGAGTAGTAAAAAGATGATTAAAAGAATGGATAGATTTGTTACTTGATAGAAAAGAAAAGCCACATATATAATGCTAATACTCAAATCTTTCACTGCCTCTGTTAGCACAGAAAAGAGAAATTGTCACAAAATATTTAACACCTTTAAGGGGAGGACAGAAGCACAGGTCAGTATTTTTTATTATTTTCCTTTAAGTTTTCACATTGATAAGGCTTAATTAATACATTCTAGTCTAGAACTATCTGAAGTAATCTTCATGCCATAAGCAAACAGAAAATATACCAACCCCTTTTGAAAAGGAAGTGAAATAAATATATCTTCAATATCCAAAAGGCAATAGACTGAGGAATAAGCAATAATTTTTTTTATTATTGTTTGGATAAACAGCCAATGTGGATTTGACAAGAACAGGTTTTGCCAAAGTAAATTAATTACCTTTTTTTTTATTTTACAAGATAATTGATCTAGCAAACAAAAGAAAAGCAGTAGAGGCTATATATCCCAACTTGGTATTAGTCTCAAAATGCTGTCAACACAGCATTTCTACAAGAAAGAGTGGGAAATGGGAGGTACAGAGAGTCAAAAATCAAATCTGAGCCAACAGCATGATGTCAAAAAAGCAAATGTTAAGTCAAGATGAATTTTTGTGTCACAGGCAGTGCTCAGCAGACAACCTTCCCCTTTACTCTGTGTAGCTGAGGCTTCAGCTGATGTACAGTGCCCTGCTTGAACAGCATGCCAGGAAAAGGGCAGACAAACTGTAGCAAGTCAGAGAACATTGAAATGAAAGTTTCAGAGGTGAACTAGAAGATCCTACATCCCTCTAGCACTACATTCACAATTTTTCTCTCCAAAAGAATGGTAAGCATCCTTCCTGCTACTCCAAATCACGTGAAGATTTCTTTTTCTGAAAATATAATGCACAGGCCTTGCATCAAACACCTCACCATCTTCCACGCAGATTTCAGTTTCCTATTTAACAGTGTATTTCATTTCCCTAGTTTATAATCCAAGTATCTCCCAGTCTGAGGGGGAAGTCTTTAAAAACATGGGAAATCTTTTAAAATTTCTTTTATTTTCTTTCCATAACAGCACCACTTTGTAACTGCTTACAGTTCTCTTATTTACTAATTCTTCAGGTTGGCTGTAGCTTCCAACTTCTTCAGAAAACCAGATGTAGGATCCTTAGAACTCATTTGATTTGCTCCCTGTCTTTTAATTATGTGAAAATAGAATCCCTGTGATATTCCTGCTCTAATTTACAGTCCCTGAGACTGTTAAGTCACCTCACTGAGACATGCTATTCTGTTACCTGAAGAAAAAATTTCATTTTACATGAACACATCTTAATGTCTACTTGCTTAGAGGTTTGTAGAGAAACATCAAGGTGGCCTGGGAAGTCCAAAAACTTGTCCTTATTTCCCCCAGATAGAGTGGCTGTCTAATAATAGATATTGTATTGTCCTGAAAACCATTTCAGCTTCAAAACCATCAGCATAAAAAACACAACAATGCTCACCATGGATCTGATACTGAGTCTTAAGAAGTACAGCTTCTTCACAGAGAGATACTAGGGAGATAAAAAGGCCCTTTTTGAAATCTAGTTTCTTCCCCGTGGCACTGAATATCCAATGACCATTAAAATATGATAAACATACTGTTCTAGAAAGCTTTAGAAGTATGTGAACAATGAAACAAAAAGGCACTGCTTTAGAATGCCAACAGAGCCCTGGGACTCCTTTTAAATGCCCAAGATCCAGCTTCAGGAAGGCAGCTCTCAGATGAAGGCCTCCAACAACAACTCTCCATGCTTACATGATTCTATACCTTTCATTTTTATTCCACTTCTGCAGTATCAACCTCACACAGTGAATTTCTGTAAAAACAGGAAGTCTTCAGTCCCTGCTTTCTCAACCTACTCCATAGAAAGTTTAAGGTAAAAGACAAATGAAAACATCCCCTCCTCAATCATCTTTTGGAGGAAAATTTCCAGTCCTCCACTGCTCTTGGAAGTGAGAGTGGCTATAAAAAGATGAAGGTTGCTCCCCTTGCTAAACTACAAGAAATAAGGCAGAAATAACATTACTGCCAGTTCTGCACAGTTGCTCAGTTATTTAACTTATTTGCTCAGTCCTGGGGTACAATATTAGAAGTAATTTATCTCATTACCACTTTATAAGCTCATCAATAACTGTATGAAAATAAAGGATCCTGAACCCTTTATGTTCAATCTAACTAAAATTGAGGCTCCACAACAAGTATCATTTTCCATTTAGCTGCTCTAATGCATTACAAAATCCATCAAAACAGTCTCACAACCTGTTTTTGCAAAGTACAGAGTTCGTGTATATTAATTTAAAATATTCAGCCTAGCCAGTCTCCAACATCCAGCTCCTCATGTTGATTTTGATTTATGCCATCACTTAAGAGTATTTAATGCACCTATTCTCATAAAAAGACTCACAAAAATCTTTTTTCCCCCCTTTGAAATCAGTGAACACCTCAACATTTTAGTGCTCCCCCTGTCAATAAATCTTGCAACTGTCTATACAGTTTGGAATTAAGAAAGACTTATAGTGACTGAGAGGTGGTTTTGTTTGTTTTTTCTTAAAAAGAGGAAGAAGAAATTACCAGTTGGTTATAAAAAAGGGAATTTCCAAACACAGTTTAGCTTGCTGTTGTGAAATGCACTACATTTTAAAAGAAAAACAAAATAAAAGGCAAAACCAATCCATGTTATTTTAATGTAGTTGAAAATAACCCCCTATCTAAAGAGATATTAAACAAAACAAGATTACTAAACTTGCAACAGTTCTCTGTCCTTAAGCTACCAGCAAGTAGCACACCAAATTAAGAGAATCCCCAAGTGGCTATCCACTTGGTATTCCTCTGAGAGGAAATCTGAAAGAAAGAACAGAGAAAAGACCACAGATTGATGGGCAATTGTGTGAATTAGCTCAGGTTCCTTTGAGTGGGGTAAACTTTGCTCCCCAGTGTGGCAGAACGGAGATGTGAAGAAAAAAAGCAGGCTGCAAAAATCTACAGAGACCTATCACAACTAGGGTTATTAAAAAAATCTTCTACTTGAGGGTCTGACATTCTTATGAGGCAGTTATTTGAGATGTATTCAATCCCAGATCAGTGAGAGAGACAGGATAGGATGGTGCATTCTCAATTTGACAGCCTAGGGCTAGCTACCAAAGCAGAAGTCAAGACAGTTAAGGAATCCAACTTAAAAAATAACCTAGAATATAATTACATTTTACCTGTGCTATCTTAATTTTTCCTCATTTAATAAAACTTTTAAGGTTGAGAGCTTTGCAACAGAAAATTTCTGTAAGGATAAAAAGAAAGATAAGCACGATGGTAAAAGAGCAGATTGTGAATCAACACCCAAGCAGCTTGTGAACCAAGACCAAACTACCTTTGGCAAGCTTCCTAAGAGAAAAAGACACTTCCTCCAATTGTGCTCACCTCTGGCATAAGCTGGTCTAAGTGCTCAGCTCTGTTCTCATGAGAAGGGTGTGTGGAGAGCCACTCTGGTAACCTGGGCTGCCTTTCAAGGGTCTCTACTACTCCCATTCGTTGCCAAAATAGACTGCTTGCTCGGACATCCACACACGCCTGAAAATAGAAAGAAAATGCATAGACCACTAGATTCTTAAAGTGAAACAATGCACATTCTAATGGATATTGAATTGCAAAAGACATCCTAAGTTTTACACTTCCAAAGCCTGTTTACATGGTCCCCCTTGTACCTGACAGGAAAAGGCTGCTCTAAAATATCTAAATGCAGTAAAAACTTCATCCACATAGACACTGGATTTGTTCCTTCTAACAGCTACATGATTCCACTGATCTTAAAAATTTGCACCTGAAACAATTCAGGAGAAAAACAGATTCATTATTTCTAGCATGTACTTGTTCTTTAGATAACTCAGCTGCTTATTCTTTTTGCTAGACACAGTACAGCAGAAGAAATAAATCATCTCCATAGATATAGGCAAATTTACAGGAAGTATAGAGTTAAAACTATAAAGTGATAATAATTCATACTTAAATATCTCTAAAAACAAACTGCAAAGGCTTTTCTGTAAGTGATTACACTGCCTTTTTCAAGGGTCATCTGTGTAATCCACAACAGATTAAAACAGGATTCTGTAGAATTCTTATCTCCCTCCATAGGAGATATTCAACCACAGAAAGTCATGGAACAGTAACTTTACAAAGGGCACTTGCATATCACCAAACCACCCCTTTATACTTGCTTTTAAATGGAGGGGGAAAAAACAGAACAAGATTTCTTAGATTAGTTTTCATCTGTTTGAGAGACAAAGAGATGAGTACTCAGAAGGTAAGAAAATAACTTTTTTTCCCCCCAGAAATAAAGAAGTGGTGCTTTACCCCTTGCATTTATTTCTTACAACTATTATTATAAAAAGATGACCTGCACAAGAAGAGAAATGCTGAGATACCTCTTTGCTTTTTTTCCTTTCTGGTGTGGTCCCACATTGTTGGTATTAAAAAGCTGCAGGTACCCACACATCAATTACTTTTTTTCCCATGAATTGTATTTACGCCCTTAAATGACTTTAAACTACAAATGCAATTTTAATACCAGATTAAACGTTAATTTTAACAACTCTTATGTGAATATTAATAATTATTAAGAAAAGGAAACTTTCCTTATGAAATATTAACACTAGATGGTGCTGCTTTCATAGCTATCTAGCACTTATCTAGCTCTATTGCACTTGGCTAGAAATGAAAGAATTGAAACACTTCATAATTATCAGCAATCACTGAAAATCTAACCACAATATCAAAAAAGTTCATAAAGTTTACTACATTGTTATGAGAATAGATTTTGTAGATCAGAATTTTTCAGGTGCACTATAATATAGTAAAAAATTCCTCAGAACTTCTCACAATAAATAGGAAAATAAGTGAAAAAAATCCAAATGGCAATTTATATCTTCACATACATTAAAATGAAAGAATTGAAACACTTCATAATTATCAGCAATCACTGAAAATCTAACCACAATATCAAAAAGTTCATAAAGTTTACTGCATTGTTATGAGAACAGATTTTGTAGATCAGAATATTTCAAGTGCACTATAATATAGTAAAAAAATTCCTCAGAACTTCTCACAACAGATAGGAAAATAAGTGAAAAAAATCTAAATGGCAATTTATATCTTCAAATACATTAAATATATCCTACTTACAATAGCTCACTATTTGGCATCCTTCCCTATATACATAGGTAGCTTTTTCTTCTAATAGTAGTAAACTTCATAAAAAGTATCCTGTGCAATTAATAATGCACAACTTTACAAATTTCAATTTTACTGCATACAATTTAGCCAGAATGACTTTGTCTTCCCCTATACACTATTTTATTTCACAGACTGGTGTAGGTTGGAAGGGCCCCTAGAGATCATCTAATCTAAACTCCCTGCCATGGGCAGTGACACCTCTTAATTTCCCACCACTTCATTAATCTACATACCTTTAAATATTGGGGAACCCTCGCACACACTGTTTCCCTCTGTATGAGGTGTGAAACTACCTCTGACTATAATAGAAACTGAAAAAAAATCCCTTAAATTGTTAATAAAAACCAACCAGTTGTAATTACCTTTGCTGCAAACTGAAGTCCCACTTCATCAGCTTCAGCCTCCAATGTTCTGCTGTATGGTCTATCAAACATAAACTGCAAAGAAACACATCAAAGCTCTGTTTCTTGGTTTTGAATGTGGACAGTGCTACAGCATTGTAACTATTTTCCTAACCTCATAAGAAATGGTGTCTACCTATCATGTTCACACTGCATGGGATCAGTATTAATTTTCTTAATGAAATCACATAACAGCATTTCATGTAATTCACTGGTTCTGTGTTCAGTGGAAATTAAATTGTATGTATTTTCACTGCCCCTCTCATCAGCCAGTCTCACAGCATTCTGCAACAACCAAAGGGGTCAATGCCAACTTGAAACTATAATTTTTTTTCTCTTTGCTATGATTTGCATTAAGATTTTTGTTGTAGAAATGGTGTGCTAAAAATTCCAGAGGCTCCCTTAAACTTTCATGACAACTGTCTCTGAACCTTTGTAATAAACAGCCCACAGCATGGAATGTAGCCATCAACATTTTTATGTAGAAATCATTCCTTTGTCTAGATTATCCCCCAACACAAGCTGCAAGTTGCCCTTGAAAAATCACTCTGGAAGATACTAATCTGACCAACCCTTCTTCCCCTTTGTTCTAGGGTATGACATTGTACTAATACATATGAAGAAACAGAAATAGTTTTCTCAAATGATTATTTCATCATATAACTCAGGATCTTCTGGTACATATAATTCATGAAGGTTTGGGCAGCTTTGCCCTAACGTATCAGTTTATAGTAAAGGCAAATCAGGATTAGTTAAAGCAGCCTCCTCCTGCAGAGTTAAGGAACATGTCACAACATTCTGGTCTGGGCATCCATTAGGAAATACCAACTGAATAATGCAGATGTGCAAAGTTAGCACAGAGAAAGAGGCTCTATCAGTTCTTGGTTTGGTTATAAGAATACACCCTCCTTTTAAGATCCAGTGGAAAAGGAAAAAAAAGAGACAAAACAGATAGAACTGAAGAGCCCCAAAGCATCAGTCCAGTTCCCCGAGTACATAAAGGGATCTGTAACTTTTTGGTTCTTTCTGAAGTAGTACTGACAGTTTTTCTTTACTAGGTCAAAAATAAAAGCCAACCACAGCTGAAACTCTGCAGAGTTTTTAAGGCCAAATATGCTGGTTTGTAAGTAAGCATAGGTGAGGTAATTTTCTAAATTCTTATTTTCCTTATAAACCTTAAACAAAAATATATATCTTTGTAATTGGAACGTCTATGCTATGTATGACAGATACTTTGACTGTTACTGAAGGTGAGTTTGATCACTTCCAAACCAGTACAATATCTCATCTATGATATATCTTTCCTACAGCACACTAGGACTGTGAGCTCAAACCCAGATTCCATTTGCAATCTAATGCACAATTCCAACCCACAATGCCAAAATACCAGTTGCAGTTAGCCTAGAAGAGCAGAAAAGATGCTGACAGGGAGTTAAATCTTGCTGTCTAAATTATGAGCAGTCTCAGGATTGATTCACACTTCGTTTTTTCCAAATTCAGCTCTTCAAAATGCTGGCTAGCATTCACCACTGTATTGGTTTCTTAGCTCGTACAATTACTCAAGCTCTTTAGAGATAATTTATGTTCAGAATCCACACATCTACCCATTAGCATAAGAACTACCAAAACAGATTGGGTATGTTTAATTTCATGTTTTTGAGGAAGTGGGGGAAATCTTGGGAAAAGCATCAAGAGAAGTCAAAGAAACCAAAGAGCTCTTTCACTTAAATTCGGATTCAGGTTTTATGATGTAAGCAAAATTTCTTTTTTAAAACCCCACTTTTTAAAAAAGAAACGGATTAGTAACTGTGCAGAGGCAGAGAGTAAATTAAATTAGGCTGCTGAAGAAAACTGGCACCACAAAGCCTCTGAATTTTACTTTACTGGACTATATGCTGTTTAAAAGGATTATTTCAGTAAGTTTTATTATAGCATGGTTTATACTTTAAAAGAATGTTTAGAGTCTCAATTTTCTTATCTTAGAAACCATTCTTACCACTAAGAATATATTTAAAGAATTCCATATATTTTATTTGGTTTAGAAACAATTTAACAACTACTCAAAAACATGGCAACTTCAACATACACAACCTTAAAAGGTCAACTACATTTCAAAGAGACAATCATCTAACTTCATCAGCAAACAGGTACTTGGAGCCTGTGCAGCTGATGATCTAAAGCCCTTCAAGATGGCAAATGAAAAATACACATCAACTAAAGCAGATACAGATTTATAAAACTATATTTACTTTGACAACATACTCAAATATTAATTTTTGCTTATAGTATTTCTCCTCTTGCCTTTCTCACCAAACATATTGTTTAGTGGTGCTATCTCCCCAAGATTAAAAATTAATCTTTGACATATCTCACTGTGATATGTTGATTTCCATGGGATTCAGGAAGGATGATACAGAACCTTAGTCTTACCTCCTTCAGCTTGCTCTGAATCCACTGGCCAAGAACTGCCCAGCTATCCCGAGGACAGATGGCCCAAATCAGAGTCAGGAAGATGAGGGATACAAAATCCAGTAAGTGAACCATGCCAACTTTCTCTGCCTGCAAACACAAATTGTCCTGTTTTCATTCCTTACCATCTGACATTTCTTTAGAACATAACAGAATTTGGAAACACTTTTTTAAAAAAAAACAAAACAAAACTTTTTTTTTTTCCTTTTTTCTATGCAGCCACAGGAGCAGGGTGAGCACAACCTCCCCTGCCTGCACAAAAATATCCAGTCAGATGCAAGGTACTTGCAGTCTAGAATCCACCATAGCTACACAAATACAGTTGGAACAAATACATTTTTGCCAGAGACTCAAAGCACAAGATAAGATGATGGCTGCGTGCAGACAAAGGTCTTGAGTAAAAAGGAACACAA